TTTTTTTTTTTTTGGCCATTTTGGACAAGTAGGCATGGCTTAACTGGTAGGGTGGCTCAATGGGTAGAGTAGAGTGCTCCCCAGAACCCTTGGAGAGCAAACATCTGTAATCCCAGCACTCGTTCCATGAGATGGGAGGCAAAGACACAAGAGCCTCAGCAAGCTCACAGGACAGCTAGTGAGGACTACACTGCAGAGCGGCACACCACGAGACCCTGTCTCAAACACAAGAGCTGAGGGTGTCCCCCGACCTTCCCATGTGCCCCACAGCACATGCAAATCCCCTCACCCCGAGAAGCGGGACAGACATTTTTGTGTTATGTGTCTAAAGAAACTGCTTAACAACGAACTGACTTGTATAAGAAATTTCCCTTTTGGCATACGTAGCCATTAACTTGTCTCCTTATCAGCATCTTTGTTTCCTTCAGAGAAACCATGCAGAGCAGATCTTAAAGTGTTTTGTCAGCTCCCCTTTTCTCGTCTCTCTAGTCCTTGTCTACTCCTTTTCTAAGTGTCAACTTCCTGGGCTGCAGATTGAATTAGGCCTTTCCCCAAACTCTTTGTTGAAGGCCTGCCTTTCAGCATGACAATTATATGAAGTGAGCATGATGGGAATTGGGCTTGGATGAGGTTATGAGAATAGGGTCCTTGTGATAGGTATTATTGCCCTTGACAACAGACACCGGTAGCTGGAGAGATGGATCAGCAGTTGAGAGAACGGATGGCTCTTCCAGAAGACCAGGGTTCAATTCCCACCACCTACATGGCAGCTCACAATGATTTGCAACTGCAGTCCCAGGGGACGGGACACCCTCTTCTTGTGATACCCTCTTCTTGTGACACCCTCTTCTTGTGACACCCTCTTCTGGCCTCTGCAGGGACTGTATGCACATGGTACATAGACACACATGCAGGTAAAACACCAATATTATACATAAAATTTAAAAATAAAAATGGTTTTTTTGGGTATGATTGCACATACCTGTAATCCCAGAATTTGGGAGGCGGAGGTAGGAGGTTTTAGTTCAGCCTGAGCTACATAAGACCCTGCGTCAAAGACAAAGGAGAAGAGTTTCTATTGAACTTACAGTCTCTCACCTCACCATAGAGACATAGAAGGAGGCCACCTACAATCCAAGAAGGTTTTACTAGAGCCCAACCATTGTGATCTAGACTATCCCACCTCTGGAACTATGAGAAACAATGCCCATTGCCTGAGACACCCAGTGTGTGACACTTCGTTAAAGCATCTGAGGCCCACTGTGCCTCTCCATCTCTCTCTCTTTTCCACCTTCTCTCTGCTGTCCTCTTTCAGAGCAAGAATACAGATGTGCTATCTAACGTCACCTAGGGAAGGCCTCCCATTCCAGTAGTTTGCCCCTTTATCGTTAGAATCAGGCGACCAAGGTATTCATCTACAATGCTGCATACTCCGGTTCTCTTCAGACTGTCTAAACCTTTCACTCTCTCTACTTTCACTTATCTTAGAAAGAAAGAAGGGGGTGGGGGAGAAGGAGGAAAGAAAAGAATGAGAGAGACCCATGTGCCTTCTGGCGTGGTACTGCACTCTGGTTTTTCATTTCACACGTCAGTTTAAAGACAAGGTGGGGAGAGAAATTTGATAGAGGGGTCAAAGTGAAAAGTGGTAGCAGCCAAACACATCCGAGGGAAGAGCTCCGGAGACACCTTCTCCACCCAGGCTGCCAAGCTTGGCTGCTCCACCCTGATGGTAGCCTGTACCCACTCACCTCACCTTGCTGAGGATTTTCTTCTTTCTTTCTTTCTTTCTTTCTTTCTTTCTTTCTTTCTTTCTTTCTTTCTTTCTTTCTTTCTTTCTTTCTTTC